TCTCTGAGTTCCTTTTTCTCCTCCTGGCTTCTGCGGTGTCCGATTGACTATCCACAGGCCACTTCCCTTCAGTTGAGAGCGGCCGACACCTGGACTGTTAAGCACTTACTCATTTTCTCTCTCCCTCCCCCCTCTCTCAAACACACAGCTATGACTATATCCACGTTTCTTTTGGATCACAACCCATAGAAAGAGAAGTTTGCATTTCAGGCTTGTGCATTCGCGACCGACCTACCCCTGCCTGCCCGCCCGCGCGCACACACGCACACGTTAAGCCCGCGCGCGCATGTCAACGGACGAACACTGCTCGCAGTTCCGGTATGGCCGATTTGTCGGGCGCGTTTGCTGTCATTTCTGACATGTGTTTAATGAACCTATACATATATATACATATGAATATACTCCCCCTATAAGTGCTCACGCGCAACAAAGGATGCACTTTTCTCTTGATTTTTTTTTCTGACAGAGGTAGGCAGTTGGGGTTAGTGCGGGTCGCGACAGGTGTAGACCGTGATCGTGAATGCCGCTGAGGCGGTCGTCTGCGGCTTGCTCTCACAGTGAACCTTGGTTAAGTAGTACTGCGTGGCACCGCGTCGATGTTGACGGTCGAAATGGATCGAATTCACGTAACGTTGACCGACGACCTTGAATGCACACAGTCCTTTATGCACAATTTGTCATGAGTAGTAAAAGTCTGGTTGGCACCCGTGTGGACACTGTAAATGCCAGTGAAAGTATTCACAAAAAGTCCTCGAAACGAGTATGGAAATATGTACAGGGGTCAGTTGGTGCTAATAATAGTAATGGCTGCTGTAGTTCGGGTTTTGGAGGGGAGGAGAAGTGTAACACCAAAATTGCAGTCAGGGTCGGAGGACGGTGGGCGCCGGGAAAGGTAATTATGTGCGAATAGCTGGCTTTGGGGCATGAAGGCTGTGAGAACTGTATGAAGTTCTTCTGGGCCCAGGACCGGTTTTATAGCCGCCAATGTCGTGGCCAACAGGCACTGCCTAAATGGTTTTGGATAGCTTGATCGAACCTTATAAATCACTCCAAAGGCCTCTCTGGTCTGTGTCTACCACGTGCGCGAGGATAGAATTGTCAGTGTCCTTTTTGATCCTTTTCTGACCATAGTGGAAGATGTTCTCCTATACGTTTGAACAAATATCGACTCGTGCGACCAATGTATTCTGTCCCACAGGAGCAGGTGACGGAGTAAATACGTAGAGGTGTTCTGGGCTGGTGGTTTGTCCTTGCTATCTCCATGCACGATGGGGCCTATCGAGAAAAATACCCGGACGTCAGTTGCCGGAAAGAGAGAGAGAGAGAGAAAAAAAAATCGTTTTATTTTGAAATCGTAAATGCAAAATTTTCAGCAAAAATGGGCTCCATTTACTATGGGCAGTACGTTAATAGATTATTCAAGGGTCAAAAGTTTAACACAGAAGGGACAATTATTATGGGGACAGCTCAAGCCTTGGATTCTGTGTTTCTATCTCTTCACGCGTAAGATAGCGCGCCAGGGATGGCAATACAGAATCTCGATATGCCGATATGCGACAAGAGATAAGTCGGAAGCCGCGGCGCATCAGGCGGAAAGACTTCACAGAAATTAGATCAGAATGCAAGCGATGGACAACGTCATCTTGAATTCGACCAGCAAATTGCTTGACCGTTTTGAAATGTCGTTGAAGGATAATATAGGCTAAAAAGATGTAAGAAATACCGGCGACAGAAGAGAGCATTCGGAGGACTCGTTTTAGAAGTAACAGATATTTTTTGATCAAAGCAGGAAAAATGACAGGAGAGCAATATAGAATAAGAGGAAGAATGCAGGTATCAATGAATTGCCAGGCTAAGGCTTGAGGTGTGTGATAGGAACGTAAACGACGAATTTAATGAAGAAGTTTACAAATTTTGGTGAAAAAGAACTGAATATGTAGGGAAAATGAAAGATTTGCTGACAAAGTAACGCCAGGGGACCTGAGAGAGTATACCTCGTTAGAAAGGATGCCAGAGGATTCAGGACTAGGAGAGGGCCGCAGTCGGAAAATACACTGAACGGATTTTTGGTTGTTCATTAGAAGACCATTTTCCTCCGACCATACTAGGATATGGTTAAGGCCATCCTTTAGAGACTGGAGGTGTGTCTGATTTTTGAGATGGTGTCTAACAACCACATCATCAGCATAATTAACCAAAAAACAGTCGTTAGTGGATCTTAGATCATCGGGGTGGAAGAGGAAAAGCTGAGGTTATAGAATGGAACCTTGAAGAACGCCGCGGTTATTGGGAAGGATCATAGATTTCCGCTTGCCAGATTGGACAAATTGAGTGCGGGAAGTAAAATAATCGCTAAGCCAAAAGACGACCCAGCCTAAAGAGCCGCACGCGGATGTTTTGGTAGAGAGAAGAGGTGCCTTATGCAGCTTGACCTAGGTGCCATCTTAAAAGTTCACTTGGTGCATCACCTTGAAAGGGGACTTTGGTGGCCTTCCGACCAAGTTCTTGGCTATGGATTGGTCGGGGGTATTCGTTCTTGTGCAAAAAACTTTCGACAATCCCAATCAGCCGAGTCGGTCATTCTCACCGTTTGTGTCAAACAGCGGACTAAATTACCCTTCACGTTTAGCGGTACGAAACTTTCAGAATGGGTGTTTTGCTCGGAACACGTCTGATTACGACAGACGCTACATCGAATACCGCTATCAGACCTTCTTCTTAGAAGCACGTCCATAAAGAGAAGCAGATCGGATTGTTTTTCTTCAAACATAAATTTGATTGATGGACGCGCCGGATTTATAGCATCCAGTAGAGGAGAGACGTGAAGAAGGAAACACGAGCACACGGAACAAAGATCATGTCCCACTGCTGCGAACGGCTGAGGGTGTGGAAATCTCCGATGACAAGGATAAGGCTGAACATATCTCTCAGTTCTTCCGGTCAGTCGTGACAAGTGAACCTGCTTTTTCCTCACCCGCTTATGAAGACGATGAAACGCCTACCCTCGAAGCCGTCTTCTTCACCGAAACAATTGTTCGGAATGAGTTACTGAACCTAAAAGAATCGACCTCCCTAGGCCCTGATGCAATCCCGGCCAAGCTGCTGAAGGAACTAGCTTCCGAAATGTCCAAGCCGTTAGCCTTGATCTTTCAAACGTCATTTGTTACTGGATGCCTGCCCTCTGACTGGAAGTCCGCTACCATCACTCCGCTTTTTAAGGGTGGAAGTCGTGCGTCTGCGAATAACTACAGGCCAGTGAGTCTTACCTCCATCTGTTGCAAAATCACGGAGAAGATCATTAAGAAGGCCTTGGTGCAGTTCCTCGAGCAGCACCATCTCCTTTCTGATGCCCAACACGGCTTTCGAAGTGGTAGGTCCTGCCTCACGAATCTGCTCTTTACGCTCGAACGCTGGACCAAAGCACGTGATAAAGGCAAGGTTGTGCACGCCATCTACATCGACTTCAAAAAGGCTTTCGACAGCGTTCCTCATCAACGTCTCTTGTACAAACTGCGCAACGCTGGAATTCGTGGACGCCTTCTTGTATGGATCCAGAGCTTTTTGGTTGGACGGTCCCAGAGAGTGCAGGTCGGGCGTCAACAGTCCTCAGATGCAAGCGTGGTGAGTGGCGTCCCACAGGGCTCAGTCTTAGGTCCCACGTTATTCCTCGTTTTCGTAAATGACTGCGTCAAGGACCTAGACTGTGATGCCATCCTGTTTGCCGACGACATAAAATTGTGGAAAGTTATTCACGATGCGGCAGACGCAGACCACCTGCAAGCAAACTTGAACAGGCTCGAAGGCTGGTCGAAGCGCTGGCTTATGCCCTTCAATATAAGCAAGTGTAACTTTCTTCAACTCGGCGGCTTCAGAGCCCCCAGCCCCAGGACCTACTTTCTACACGGCACACCACTGCAACAGGTTGACAGTCAGAAGGACCTGGGTGTATGGATTACATCTTCACTCAAACCAACACTGCACTGCGCGAAGGCGGCTAAATCGGCTACGGCCACATTGCAACTCATTAGGCGAGCATTTATGGGATTTGACCCTGACTGCTTTTCCAAAATATTTGGCACCTTCGTGCGACCTCATCTAGAATACGCCATACAGGTGTGGAGACCCTGGACTGCCAAGGATTATACCGTCTTGGAGAAGGTCCAGAGACGGGCGACCAAAATGACACAAGGTCTGGGAGCACTGCCCTATGAAACCAGACTGTCAATCCTCAATCTGTTTCCCCTTTCCTACAGGCAATTACGTGGTGACCTTATACTAACATTTCGCATCATCAACGGCCTAGACTGTTGTTTAGATCCCACTGATTATTTCACCCAAGCTAACACGCCCAATTTGCGCGGCCATCCCCTAAAACTACGCGCAGGGAAATCAAGAACCAATGGACGAAAGTCCTTTTTCAGTAACAGAGTGGTTGCAGCCTGGAATTCCCTACCTACCGATGTTGTAACCTCCTCCTGTGTGAACTCCTTCAAGTGTAGACTTGACCTGCATCGAGCTTCCCAATTACCACCCCCACATCCACTCACATAACCCGGTACCATCTTATATGTGTTTATACTACTTGTAATTAATAAGTAACCATTAATGATTACTCTTTTTCGGCTAGCTGCCAGCTGTCCGCGAGTATGTACAAAATCCCTTTTTCACCTTCCCATTAATCAATGTTTTTCTCCGACGACTTGTAACCAAGAGGGAATTCAAAGGCGCTTGCCTATATTTCCCTTAATAAACTGATACTGATACTGATACTGATACGATCGCTAGAACAAAAGCCTTATTTGCCAGACATTTCGGATTCCTGCTAGAACATATCATCAGGACAGCAACAGATCCGGTTAGTTTATGCACATGGTGCCACAGTATTCATAGGATGAAGTCGCCATGTTCCGGCATAGCTATGAAAATCCGTATCTCCCCTTTCATCAGGGATTGTTGCACTTGGTTTGATGGCTGGCATTCGAGTCATTAGTCGCTGAGATCTCATCACAGATGTTAGATGGTGTGGTTATTGCTCATCCATCTAACTCACCGACCCTAGCGTTGGGAACAGGGTTCGCCTGTGCGCTCCCCGCGTGATTAATTATTCCGTCTAGGATAAATCTCAATGTCGAATATGGAAATGGGGGGAGTCATTGCGCCTGAACAAAACGACGTCTCAGTTCTACTGGATGATATAATTCACGCGCACCTCTCAATAAAATTTACGCTCGAAGAAGAGTAGTCCGGATCGCTCCTCTCTCTGGGCGTGCCTCTGAGTAGAGGGCCTGACAGAGGTATTCGAAGTAGCGTCTATCGCAAGAAGACGCTTTGCGAGCAAAACAAGTTTTGGGGAAGGGTGAGTACATTGAGCATGTAAATAGACTGTCTACTAACAAGAGCAGTGTACTCTCCCTTCCATATGCGGTGCCGAGAATTATCCTAGATGGAGTAAGTAATCACTCGAGTGGAGCACAGGCGGACACTGTTCCCAATGCCAGGGTCGGTGGGTCAGATGGTCGAGCAGTCATCACACCAAAATCCAACACACGCGATGAAATTGCAGCAATTAACGACGCGAATGTCGACCACCAAACTGTCAGCACACCAAGTTTAACGACCCATGTTGAGGGGGGAGAGCCATGAATTGTCATAGGTATGCGGTAGCATGGAGACTGCATCCTTTAAATACTGCAGCCCTTTGTGGATGAACCACGCGTATCTGCTATTGTCTCTGATGGTGGGTTCGAGCAGGAATCCGAAACGTCAGGCTAATAAAGCTCTTGTCCCAGCGATCGTCTCTCCTTCTTCAAGGCTACTTCTTGGGACTCGTCTCTTTGCTTCTGTTGGGAAACTGAGACGTTTTTCTTCTGGGCAATCACAACTATATCATCCACGTACCGCTCATGGTATCCCAAACCTTTGGCCCGGTGACGAAGCTGGAAAGCCTCTGGCTTGTCCATGAGCATATTCGCCAAAAGCAGACCAAGCGGCATGCCCATGGCAACTGCGTCCATCTGCCTGCGTAGATTGTTTTCAAATAGCAACTGCACTTCTAAGTTACATCTCAACAACAACAAACTCTTGGGGACATCCACCTGCATTGCTGATTGAAGGCAATGAATTCGCGAAGGTAGTTTACAGTTTCCGTGACCGGTGTGTTCATAAAGAGGCGAGACATCTAGCGAAAATAGAACCACTCCGTTTAGGTCGAGGTCTTCCGCGCCCTTAACGAGTTCAAAGGTATCCTAATGGCTTTGTAGAGCTAGCTAATACATCACAGCCCTAAGTTTCTCCACTAGTCACTTTAGTATCGTGTGGTACGACGCGTATGGAAGTGGAGGTCATTGCACTTATTAATGGACTGGGGGCCAGTAAACCATGATTATAGTAGCTCCCGGCTCACGCGGTTGTCACCTCTTGCGAGAATTTCGACCTCGTCGAATTTGAATGTGTGGCCGGATCTCGTCGAATGAGTCGCAACTTGGGAGCTGGCGTCATTTCTCCGTACCGCTGCAGCGTGTTCAGCCATTTTCGTTCGGAGCTGTCTTCCGGTTTCTCCGACGTAGTTGCTTTGTCCACAACTGCTCCAGATCCGATAAACGACTCCAGACGTTTCCTACCACGGTAGCGGGTCCTTCTGTTTCATTACCAGACGCCTGATGGTTGCCTCCGGTCTATGTGCAACTCCAACCCCAAGTGGTGCGAGAAGGCGGCCGACAGCTTTCGAAACGTTCTTGACATACGGAAGCGCCCGCCAAGATATGGTGCCAGTGCGGTTAGGACTTTCGTCCCTTTTGCGTATGCACCGGTTGACGAAGTTGCGCGGGTAGCCATTGGCTTTGAAGACCCGTCGGAGGTATTGTAGTTCGGCAATCGTGTCTTCCGGCTCACTGCAGTGTGTTTCGACACGCCGATAGAGCGTCCTTACACAACTGCGTTTGGGGTTGATTGGGTGATTGCTGTTAAAGTTTAGTACTTGAATCGTATTTGTCGTTTTCGCGAACACTTTGGTCTTTAATCCATCACAATATTTGAGGCATAGGGGGACATCGAGTAAGGCCAGCTGGTCGTTCTCTTCACCCTCCATCGTAAATTGCATGTCCGGGAAGACCGCACTCAGATGTTCCTTGAATGTCAGCAGTTGATTCAAGTCGACAACGACGAAGGTGTCATCCGCATACCGTGCCCAGAATTTCGGTCTGTGGTGTTGGAAGACCAGCGACTCTAACCATTGCAGGACCGCCTCGGCGATGAATCGGGAAATCGGCAAACGCATTGGTGGGCCCTTCACCTGTTCGTAGATTGTCCCGTCGGACTTGAAGTACGTCCTGAGACAGAACTTCAGTAGCTGAAGGACTTGGGCGTGTCTAAAACAATTCTCCGTTTTATCGTATTTACTTTGTTGTATCAGCTCGATTGTCTCGATCGCCAGGTCCTGGGGAATAGAAGTAAAAAGGGATGTAACATCAAAAGATACCATGACCTCATTTGGATGGAGGCTTACCCCTTTGACTTTCTCCAGGAGTTGTGCTGGCAAAGAGACCGTGGTGTCTGACCCATCGGTCAGGAACTTGAGACGCCGGAACAGCCACTTAGCCAGTCCGTACGTTGGAGTACCTTTGAGCGACACGATGTGTCGGAAAGGAACGCCGTCTTTGCGCATCTTAGGGAGGCCATAGAATCGGGTCAAAGCAGTATCTTGGGGTCTCGCCATGCGTCTGCCAGCCGGCGTTATTGCCCCTGAGTTCTCCAAGGCCAAAAACGTAGCATTAATTTCGCGTGTCAGCGCTTTTACAGGTTTCGTTGCACATGGGACATAGAACTGTCGGTCCTCCAGTAAACCTTTGGCTTTTTGAAGGTAGTCTGTCCTGTCCAGTAAAACCGTGGAGCGCCTCTTGTCCGCTGGCACGATGACCAAGTTTTTGTCGGTCTTGAGTTCTCTAAGTGCATCACGTTCGACCTTGGAAAGCACTTCCCGCGGCCTGTGGCCATCAGGAGAGACGACACTTGGTGTCGGATGAGGCTCTTGGTCTCCTCCGTTGCCTCCGTCTGACTAAGGATTGGCTTAACTGGTGCAATCATGTTAACAGGTTTGGCGTCAGCCGTGTTAAATGGAGCTTTGTGCCGTAAAACCTGCATCTGATCTTTCGTCAGATCCATTGACGTTAGGTTGTGCACCAGTTTGTCGTTTCTGGGCGACGTTGGATTCGGCAGCTTTCGGAATTTGTTCTCCAGAGCTGCGTCGCGTATCACTCTCTGTTCGCCGGCTTGTTCAGTCACCCTCTACAGGAACAGATTTGTACACAAACATCCAAAGCACGTGATGAAATTGCAGCAATTAACGACGCGAATGTTGGCTATCCAACAATTAGCACACCAAGTGCAACGATCCCGGATGAAGGGTGAGCCGTGAATGTTCATAGACATGCGGCAGCATGGCGACTGCATCTTATAAATATTGCAGCCCCTTGTGCATGAACCACCCGTATCTACTCTTGTCTCTGATGATGGGTTCGAGCGGGAATCCGAAACGCCAGGCTAATAAAGCTCTTGTCCCGGCGATCGTGTCTGCTTTCTCAAGACTGCTTCCTGCGACATGTCTCTTCGCATCTATTGGCAATGGAAAGTTTGACAACTCTGATGACCGTTGTCAAAGAAATGACGAAGCAGTACGATTTGAGGGTGGACGAAGTGTAGAAGGCACTCCTTATACAAGAATCCGGGTTGGTCTTCTTGAGAACAATTCGCCCGAAAAAGATGTAAAATAAATGTGAGTAGTGAAGCTTCTGTAAGAAAAACACAGAGAATGTATTTGAGCGTGACTGAACCATCCTGCTGGTGGGATTGGGACAAACCTCATCAAGGAGGGCGAAAATATTGGACTGGTAGATGCTAATTGTACACCCGACGAACGACAGATGCGAGCACTAAGTTCCCCTGACAGCGCGACCGTCGCGAAGGCTGGTGTTCACAGTGTGCGCCGCAGAATAGGGGCGCAGAGACGGTGACTTGCGCTACATCTAACGCACCGCCTCCTCCTTCGGCAACTCCAGTCCGGGGCCAAGGCAGGATCAAGACGACCAGATGCGCGGGTGGCTGGCGTGGCGTGAGCCAGCACCTGGGCGTGCTACCGCGCCCTCAAAGGACCAGAACTTAACGCAACAAGAAGGGGGATAGCTTGGATCCAAACTAAGTGAAAATGTCATATAGGCCACATTAGGAAGGAGCCATAGCACCTTGACTCTCCGTTCTAAGGGGAGGACCAAGTTGTCCCGTCAGCTGGCAGCCAATCAAATCACCTTTTTTGACATGCTGTGATATATTCAAGCACGCCAGATTTTTTGTAGTGAGGAATATGTGCTAAGTACCATGGGGGCGCAGTTCTCAGAGCCGATCACACTCTCTTCCCTCTTCCAGACACTACTCATTTGATCGCAGAAATCGCCGGTAAGATGACCCCTAGCGTACACTGAAGACGCACACAGTGCCGTCTGAGCCATCATAATTCATATCTGAAACTGACGGTTACGAAAGTAGGACATTTACCGATCTGGCTCTTCTTTGGAGCCCACGCAAGCGGTCGCAGAGACTCTGACCACTGAACTCGTCAGATTGACTTAGCCGGCTGAAACAACACATCAGACAGTTATTTCGGCCCTCATGATGTGCCGGTTAACGCCGGGGGTCACCGATAGTTTCTTTCGCGCAGGAACAGGCACCTCCAGGCGCCATTCGTTCCCCAGGAAGTTCAGTCGGAACACGCGGATCATAGCCAATGGCTCGTCTGAAAACTCGCTCGAGTGGAACTACGGTAGGTGGGAAGACCAGTGTTTTAGAGTTGCATCCCGGACCAGCCTTCGGAGCTAAAGGCAGTAAACTTGAAGAAATAGACAGTTTCAAATGTCTCGGGGCGAGGCTGCTGTCGAGTGAACAGAGTAAGGACAGTGTGTTATTACCGACAAAGACAAGGGAGACGGGAATGGCCATTTATGGTTTAGTAGCCGTCGTCAGCCAGTCACACCCAACCTCGAAATGTGGAACACCATTGTGTATTCGAGTTCGAACCACGGATGTTCCATACTTCGGGGTTGAGTATGACTGGCTGACGACGGCTAATAAGCCAGAAATGGCCATTCAAGTTTCCCTTGTCTTTGTCGGTAATAACATACTGCCTATATCATGCGCCACTGTGCGGCTGCTGGTTGGGCTCGAGAGAGAGAGAGTCCGTAAGGCACAAAGGAACGAGTGAGTTCTGAAAGAACGATCGGTGAGCACCCTCTACCAGAATAAGGACAACATTGTTTCCTGAATCGATGCTGCTCTCAGGGTTTTCACAATTCTTACGTGTAAGTGGCTCCGAACGCGGTATCCCCATCGCCATGAAAGCTCGCATGTACCGTGAATACGTCTGCTCAGTGGTAGGTACTTGGTCGTGCGTGCGGCAGACGAGCGAACGTTGAAGGTGTTTGACCGCTGTTCTTTAAGGATCAATCTTCGAGCGAAGCACACTAGCTTCGTCTCGAATGAAACAGTCGCCACTCGTTGTGACAGAATCGCGAGGGTATTTCAGGTCAGCTAGTAAAGGCAACTGAGGTGGTTTGGGCACCTCACTCTGAAACTGCCTCTGATGATGGGTTCGAGTAAGAATACTAAACGTCAGGCCACTAAGCTTCTTGTTTCAGCGATCGCATCCTCTACTTCGTTATTTGTCGTCTGTCCCATGAGCCCAGCGTGGCGAGGTTTGGTCCTGCAGCCCCAAATGTTTAATACCGGACAATTTCCTTATTAAAATGATTTTGGTTAACATATAAACCTTGGCTACTCGCTGTACTAGGAAAGGGAAGTGAGCGCAGGCAGAGCTCGAAGCACGCGCAGGGAAGCGCATGCGAGCCGATGCTTGGTGTAACCGAAGGTGACATGTACACGATAGGCCGACCGTCGGTTTCGATGATGTCCACCGTGTGCCCTACAGCACGGTGAGAGCAGGGACGGTGACTTGTGCGAAAATCTAGTTCATAGTGTCAGTAGACTTGCATAACATCTACCGCACTCTCTTCTCCTCAACCTGGATTCGGTGTCAAGACAGAGTCAAGAAGACCGGAGACGGGGTAGGGCGCAGGTGGATGGCGCGGTTGAGCCCGCACCGTGGCGTTCCACTCCACAGCAAATAACCGGGTTTTTGATTAACACCAACAATGGGGGTGGCAGAGTCCCAGCGTGAGCGACGTACGCCAGCAACCGGGTCCGCCATTGCACCCCCCGAAATGTTGGCATTTGTTATGGTGGGCAAATCCGATAACACCTGCTAGGATCCGATATGGCCCCCGTGTTGGTCCAGCGCATCTACCACTTGGCCCGTTTGGGGGAGGGAGGGGCCCGGCGTGTACACACTCCCCGTGTCGCAGCCATTCACTGGATTAACAAGATAAGAAGTGTGCAATCACAACTAGAAGGTCACAGAGGGAACCGCGTGCTAGTTCGCAGTACAGGGTCGCTATAGTGGAATGAGCGGAGTTCCAATTCGTCCTAACAACGTCATTAGCAAGCCTATTTAGCTTCTCCCTGGAGTAAAATAATAAAGAGAGCGCAAGCAGGGCTCGAAGCCAGCGCAGGCAAGTGTGTGTGAACTGATACCAAATGTAACCGTGGAGGACATATAAGCACTCCCCCCAAGCACAGTCACTCGCTGGATTAAAAGAGTAAGGAAAGCGCATGCACGTGGCATGTATAAAGTCAGTGTAATAGCACCTACTAAAGATTGTTTAGGAAGCTATCCATATGGTATCAATCAAGTGGGGCCAAACCTCGCCCCATGCGTTACTCCCATCGAACAGGGTTCTTGCCCATCTGGAAGCGCCGAAGAGGTTAACTCAGAACCTGGCTCAAAACAGTTCATCAGGACATGGGAATTATTCGCGGACCTTCGGCATTCGGTCTCCGTCGTTGAGAGGATGGGCCGAGCTGTGAAGACTCGCCGCCGTGGATCTTCACGCGTTGAGGGACAATCCGCGACATCATCGAGGTCGGGCATGATAACTGCTCTACCACGCACAATAACTACAGTTATCGTATTCAGAAGTGAACGCCTTCACTCACCACAATGCTAGAGCTTCAAAATTGTGTCGAAAGGTGGAAGAAGACCTACTTGATGACAGGTTGCATACGTCTCGTCTATGACGACGTGCTCTGTGATCCTGTACACAGTTAACCAGATCATTGTCCAGCCGGGTACGACGAAGACATTGTCGCGACATCGCCCATGACTGCTTATTCCCTCAGGGCAGGGCTTTTCGTAGCCGGCTTTTACAGTGCGTGACCGATCTGATGAAATGCTGACCGAAATTCTGAAATGCGTTTTCGATTAGGAAGGATTACTTAGGCGGGGTTGTAATGTTGCTTATTAAGCAACATACTCCCATAGAATTTCGGACTCGCCAGGATGTCGGCTTTTGAATGCACTTCATTTCGACCTCCTATAGAGGCCATACTCGGTAAAAAATGACTACTTAAGTAGCATGTATTTTCACATTGATTTTAGGTGGTCTTATAAATTTAAATATTTTTATGGAAAAACTCAAAAAATTTGCATTCTTTTACTCGTCTGATAGAGAATACCATTATTTTTACATTTTATACCAAAATAAGGCGTGCATTTGGGTTTGG